ATCTCATTCATAAAACAGAAGAGCGCATCAAATTCCTGTCCTTCCCCAAATAAAATAGTGGTACTTAGATGTCCTTTGTTTGGAAGGAGGAGTTTCTATGGGGAGAGATCAAAAAGGTGAAGGGGGCAGCTGCAACGGTGTGATTGAAGATCCACCTTTTTATGCATACTGTGCAACACATGAGCAGATGGGGTGGAGCATAGCAGGTGGTCTTACATAAACAAACATACAGCCCGCATGAGCTCCTAGTTAGACATTTGGGGATAAATTTGTATCTCTTCATTTACTCATCGATTTCTACATCTCACCTAAGCAACTGACTGTTTACAATAAAAAAGTATAATGTGAAAGTATAAATAGAAAATTCAACACAGAATTTAAGTTATTATGGTTAAAATATTAACGGTTCACAGGTTGAAAAAGAGGCGAGAACATTCTCATGACACCAACTGTCTCTGAGGTTGCATATTACTGTTTGACACCAATGCCAGTTAGCAAAGCCAGGCCAGAAGAGTGGGGGAGGGGCTGTCTATGGGGTAAAGGGTAGGAGCAATGACAGAGAAGGCTCTGGATCCTGTCAGTTGAAATTCTTTAATTGATGGGATCTACAATGTATCCTCCCTACCTGACCGGGTAGGACACGACAATGTAATTAAGATGAGATGTTCCTCAAGTAACCAGCTCTCATGCCATGAAGGCATGTTGATGTCAAAACTGGGGGGAAAGGAAAGTGCAAAATGCTCGTAGAACAGGCAGTTGCTAAAAGAGAAGTAGCTGACTACTTCTCTGGGTGGGGTATGCCTCTGTCTGCCAATATGTTGTCTGATAAGTTACTTTAATGGGTTAACATTAACTTAAGAGGAAAAGCATAGTGTAAGCTGATGCATCTAATAGTCTGGGAATGAGCTGAAAACATTGCATGCCAGGTCGTAATTCTACACTGGTGAAATAAATGCAAGTAGGGAAAGATCTTAGAGTCGGTCCTAATCAGGCGTCTGAATCTTCCAGACAGCAAACCATCTTCATAGGGGAGCAACAAAGATTCCACAATCTGGGAGGGTCTGGCAAGCACAGTCCTGCCCTCTGTCATGTATGTGAGTCCAATTGTATAAATGCATGCCCAAATAGAGTTCTGGTCTGACCTTAAAGAAACCCTTTTGAGGGGTGCAAAAAAGTTTCTCCAACCTAAACAGGAAAAGCATCTGCAGAGTCTGCAGAAATTCAGAAAATATGAAAGAAGGAATGCCTGGTATATTTATAAGTCCCAGAGATCTGCTTGTGTGTTTAAAATTCCAGTTCAGTTCTGAAGATAAATGAGAGCAATGATTGGGGAGGAGCTGCCTTGGTCTGCTTTGTAAAAATTTAGCAATTTTGCATAGTGGTAAAGTTAAAGCACAGATAATTATATTGATATGTGTGTAATTTATAATGTAATATATAGTAGCATATACATGTAATATGGACAGTTTTCCCATTTTTTTCTCTAGTGTGCCCTGCAAGCATCAAATATCAAATTGAGGTATTAGTAAAGTTTGAATTTCTGCATTTAATCTCTATAAATCCCATATCACTTTATTTCTGGTGTATGGGGGGGAGGAGAGGGAGGGAGGGAAGAAAGGGGAGAGAGAGGGAGATATTGATTGGGTTGGCTGATTCCATATTTTAAACTGTCTATGCACAGTATTGGTAATTAGATTTTAAAATGCTACTTTTTGGTCTACCAATTCATTCTAAACCAGAACACTGAAGATCAGTGCAATGTACAAAATATGCAAAGAAGGGTGATGCCATGCTTTTATATTTTATTGCTTTTATAGTAATATATATATATATATATAACATTATCAAAAGTTGTTCTTTTGTTTTATGACTCCTGAACAAAGCAGAAGACTCATATAATAAGCTTGTGAAAAGAATTTTACTCCTGACTCATTTTCTCCTGTTAGAAGGATGATTCATTCTCAGACGGAACCAGACCTCGGCAAGTTACATGCTTCTACAAGAATGGTATACCCATGTTAGGACCTAAAACTTTACTTTCCCGGAGATAACATAGTTTGTCCCTGGGCAAAGCTTTAGCTTAGCTGAGGAACTTTGATAAACAGCTACTCTTGCCTTTATATATACACAGCCACATTTTTATTATAAATTTTAAGCTTCTCTTTTTCCACTTTTGTCCACATTTTGAGCTGCCTATACTGCCTAGCAAATTTTAAATGATTTGGCAAAGACAAAAAACTAAAATTTTGCCAATTTCATATTGATTTCAGAAGCAAGTCCTAGTTAGCAAATATTCCACAGCTGCAACCTCAACATCCTTTTCCTAGAGGTTGTAGATTAAATGCATTTATACATCTACAATGAAGCAGCCATTATTCTTTCCCCCCAAATATTAGTAATAACTTAACTAAGCCAACATCAATGTTTCATTCTATAGATTCCATCTTTGACTGACATTAAACAAAGATTGTGTAACAAACACTTTGACTAAATTTTTGGACTTTCTTACATCTTCCTCAACCATTTCTTTTTGCACCATCTTGTTTATCCCAGAGCTGTGAAGAACATGATGATACTACACTCTCTTGCACAATTTTAATTAATGTCAGTCAAATTATTGATGAACTATAGATGTGCATCATTTTTTTCTCTGGAATAAACAGGATTGCTTTCATTTATTTGATTGACACTTTAATCAATGAATTAGGGTAGATTCACTGCTTGAAGGGACAAAAAGTTGTTTTTATTGTATACTATCTATTATTCCAGCTGGCACAGTTTTTCCATATTCTCTCTCTCCATTTCAAGTTGGGCATAGAGTTATAGATCAACACGTTAACCTTTGGAGTTCATCTATTACCATCCATGTGTAATATGGATTTCATACACATCGTATCATATCATGCACGTATATTTTTTGGAGTTGTGCTATTTAATGGCATCTTTAAAGTTGGGTCTGCAACGAATTTACACATTTGATTTAATCTCCGAGACACGTAATTCTTGATCTCATTATCCACTGTGTTGTTCAAAGCTGCTCTGCTTCTTATTTTCCATAATTAGCAGGTATAGATCATCATTGTAGAATTATGCCACTGGAGTGTGCATTTGCTATGGTATTTCCCATCTGTTGTAGGATAGGTTTTATGCGGTTAAAGCACAACATATACTATCACTTTTGGTCCCGATTTTTCACCTCCATTTCTGCATTGCCCAAAGCTGCCTTGAGGACCTACCTATTCAAGGCTAATCATGCTGTAAGACTGAGGAAAATGCCTGGAACTATTTGGCTGAGTTTGTACAATTTACTGAGCTACTAACAATCCTATTGCATTATATTTAGCAGATTGTGCAAGCTCAACTGTATTTCTGGCTTTTAGTTCATTGAATTGTAAAGACCCCGAAAATTAGGTTGAGTAAATCATGGTTAAGTTAAACATGCTTTTATGCTACCCTGTTAATATAGTATTACCATAACACTCCATCTTGGATTTTCTTTTCATCTCCTGATAGGATCAATTATTTCACACAAAATAGAATAGGCAAACAATGGCAGATCATAGAATGCAGCCCAAATATTATTATGCTCAGCTATTTTCTATAGCAGATGCTAGTTTAAAAAAAACCTTTGGTAGAGGCATCGGTATTCCTTGCATATTTTAGTAAGATTTCATCCATGCAGCTCTTTGTAAGAATTCATACATCATCTGGTCCATATTTCTTAGATCAACTCTTTAAGGCAGAATAGACAACTTGAATCCCTGAATCAAATGTCTTGCCTTCCTTGGTTTAAAGCCCTTCCTAATTCTGGCAATTGTAATTATCTGTTCTTTTGAAATCATAAAGCAAGAAATCCCAAAGGTATTTTTTTCAAGAGACAATTGAACTCTCTTTGTTTTTTACCTTAAAGACATTTTATTTCTCATCCAAGAAACTTCTTCAGTTCTGACTGAATGGTGGGGAATGGAAGTCAAAACTGAAAAAGCTTCTTGGATGAGATATGAAACGTCTCCAAGGAAAAAGAAAGTCCAGTTGCCTCTTGAAAAAGCACCATTGGGACAACCATAACCGAGATGACTGAGAATCCCCACAGACACTAAAGCAAGGAAGATAAAGGAAGAGGAGAGTGATCTATCCACTTTTGTTTGGTCCTACCCACCTCCAGCAGGGAGCCTCTACACAGTACCCCAGAAAAGACAGTGTGTTGAGCAAAAATACCTTCTTTACTTGATATAAGATGTGTGTTCTTAAATTGAGAACCAACTAGCATGGCCCTTAATATTTCCAGATTACAGGGTATTTTTAGCAGCTCGCATTGGCACTGATATATTCCCAACATTAACTGGTCCTTCATGATTCTACAGGCATCATTCTTCCTACATCTCTATGCATCTTATAAATTCTGGAAGACAATCAGGATTTTCCTAGAATAGCTATTGTAAGAAAACCAATACACTCTACATAGTGATTCTAGAGAATGTTTTTATGTCTCTTCAGAGAAAAATCAGCTGACATCCATCCAGCACAAACTTATTTTGAAAAACATGAAAGATCTTTAATCTTTGCTAGTTGATTATCCAAGTAAGATTTTGTCAAATAGCTAATTAATCAGTTCGTTCTGCATTTCTTTCACACTGTGTCATAGAGGATAGAAAGCAGATCTTTCTGTTAGGTCATTTGAAGCCAAAGGCCATTTTAGCTACTTCTTTCTCGCAACTGACTCCAGCTATTATTTATAATTTATGAAATTTTCAAAATTGCTATCTGGATTTGTTTTTTCTTTCCCTTTCCTGTGTATTCTTCACTCCATCGCATCTATTAAACTGGGACCCATGGATAGGAAATAACCTTTTTAAAAATCTCCGTACATATAATTTGAAGAATGTAGCTGTTTTATAAATTAGTGATGCAGTGCATTTGAGATATACTCGAAGTTTTATTTAAATGTACTTTTTTCTACATTTATTAAAAACTATTATCTATTAAATGTACAGCACAGATGACTTAGAAAAATGCAATTCCCTCAACAAAAGGGAATATGTCTATGTAATTCCCAATGTTATAGTCTCCTAGAAAACCTGACTCTTTTCCAGGATTAGAATAAAGCGGTTGTTGAGCCCATCAGGTGTATTTTGTGGGAATGTTTCCAGACATGTATACTTTTCTGTTTATTACTGTCTTTTAAATCTGTGTCTATATTCTTTATAGTGTGTGATGGAATGTTGTAGGCTGGATTTCCAGAAAGGAGTGGTGCATTCCAGAAGAATAAGAGGCAGCTCAGTCCAGATAGTTGTGTGAGACAAATAGGGTGAAGACAACTCCTCCCTAATAGTTCTCAAATTATGTTTGATGTAGCTAGCAGAGTGCTTCAGTTTGGCAAGATCCTGTCTATAGTGTGGAACAATGAAGAAATCAACCTGAAGGGATCGCCATGTGTCTTTCTTGGTTTGGTGATCTGACAATAAGCCAAACAAAGTCACTCCAGAGTCAAACTTAAATTATCAATCAGTAAATGAAATAAGTAAATAAATATAGCATTTACCAGGGGCAGGGTTTGTTTTATAAATAAACAATTATACTGAAATATAGGGTTTTATATATACTGAGTAGAAACATACATTCTGGATACTATCGATTATGTTAGTAAACCAAACGCAAGGTTCCTTATATTTACAGGCCCAGTCAGTCTAAAATGGATTATGTCAACACATAGTTGTGTTGAACTATAGTTTAGCAAATAAAACCACTCTGTTTTCATATAACACTTTGATCTCTAAAATAATCAGTACAGATAATTTAGATTCCGTGATTAAAATGTCATTACCTAATGCCCCCCTTCTAACTCTGGGGTTTGAAATTAGTCTAGGATAAAATTAACTACAAGATTAAGCAAGCACACAAACAAAATCGCCATCCATAGAATCTGAGTAATGTAGGAATAACTGTCAGATCATGTCTATGATTGCCATTTAGCTGCCTTTAGCATGCCAAAAGCAGCAGATAGGAGCCAACAAGGGGCACTATATCTGCAAATAATGTTCCAGCTGATCTTCCATATTTTAAATAAATCCATATTTTACTTCTTTCAGGGATTTGTAAAATGCAAGGCAAAGACTCCTTGGTTACAATATCATAGGTTTTGAACATCCACTCAATAAAAGAGTGTCTTGCTACATTTATATTGAACACAACAGAACAGAATAACAGAGTTAGAAGGGATGTTGAGGGTCTTCTAATCCAACCCCATGCTCAGGCAGGAGACCCTATACTATTCCAGACAAGGGGCTGTCCAGTCCCTTCCTCCACATTAAGTAGCAGTTTTATCTAAAGTAGGTATACTCTTAAAGTAGGTATATTTGTGCCTATTTCTCTTATGATTTTAATATACTTTTACCTGTTTGAAAACCATACTGCTTTATTAATTATACAATACATTCCATTGAATGATCTAACATAAAACCAATCTGTCAACAGAAATTTTAAATGTATCTGATTGTGTTGTACTGAACTCAAGCAATGGAGTCAGTTGGACTAAATCAAACCATTGTTTAACAGACATAATTTACAAACTTAGTCTATATGAGTATCCAAATTTCCAGTTTAAACTGCTTTATTAGTCATAAATAATTCATATATGACTAGAAATACCTTCAGATATTTGAATTACAAATACTTAAAGCTAGTTTACATTCCCAGCATTTTTGGCTGAATATCTATAGCAGTTAACCTGGTACAAACCAAAAGTGTTTATAGTATTTGTCCTCATGAGGATTTTTCATTTATTATTTGGGGCAGCACTTTGACACTTAATAGTATTAAACTTGCCATATTTTCTCAGGCATAAGTAATGGATAAAATCAAAAGCTAATTAGAAAATTGCCAAGAGATTTAATACATGGGCATTGTATCCCCCATGCTAGCATGTATCACTGGGAATTTTCAACATAGTCTCCTTCAGTCGTAGCCCGTGAAATCACCAGAGATTGGTGACTGGCACCGCTTTGAACAGCCCTACCAGAGCCTGTGGTTATTTCCTTTGACAATACTGAAGAGACACTTCTTTCGAGAGTCTCCCCATTTTCCTTCTCATCCTCTGTGCTCCCAATTGGTAAAAGTGTATGAGGGACAAACTTGGTGCGTTGAGATCCAATAATACCAATCCTGTTGCAGGAGAAAAGACAGGGATATTAAACACACTCAAGAGCTCAATATGCAATCTTCAACTCATTGGAGGAAAGCAACTGTAAATGTAGTAAAAGCAACTATAAACGTATATGAAAATAAAGCAAGTTAATTAGGTACTAGAGAGACAACAATAATCTTGTCATCACTCAAATAGGATTGGTAAAACTTTGTAAGATTTGTTTCATCACAATTGAAAACTGGATTGAATAAATAAAAATATAGCCACCTAAGGGATCTAAACAAGGTTACAAACAATGGTGTAGTTGATAAGAACATTAGAATATGAGAGCCTGTGTGTGTTTCTTTTCCCGCTTTCTTGGATTTTATTTGTTTATTTTATATGTTTACTTTATTTATTTTTGACTATTTTTAGTTTGTTATGGCATGGAGTTTTCTTGTACTATGTTGTACTGGTATGTTGCCCAGAAACACATAGGTAGATATATAAATATGTTAAATAAAATTAAATAAACAGGTTGACGCTACATAATGTGTGATACTGAAGTTATTTCTTACTTGGAGGGTGACACAATAGAAAACAACTCTGGTAGGTTTTCTGGGATGTAACGTGGGGCAGTTTTGCTGGGACGAAGATAATGATCCTGAAACAGATATTGAGCACTGTCTTTAGGCAGAGGCAGCAAAGTACTAAGCACTGGTGATCGCTGATCCATGACACTTCTTATGGCTGGCTGCTTAACATCTGTTCTCCTTTAAGAACAAAAAATAGCAACATCAGAAAAAAGTAATAATGGGAGTTGTTAAATAAGAAGGCAAATATTTTTTTCCCTAAGAACATTGGAGTCAGACATGGTAACATTGTCACATTCAACTAACAAGAGCAAAGCATATTTTTTCTACCCTGGAACAAATTTCAATATAGTTCAATATGAATTTGGAAAAACTGGGTGTGACAAGTATATAGTGGTTAGCTGACATGATATCTCCCTCCAATCCCTGATGTAGTTTTACAACTTTGAAGAAAGTGTAAGTTAAAGAAAGGATATTTAAGCAAACATGTGCCTAAATTTATAAAAATAAACAAAAACCAATCTAAAATATGAAGACTGAAATGTTATGCTTGTGTGAGCAAGTATGCATGTATGAAACTCTAGCTATAACATATTTAATTTCTGTTATAATCTCTTCCTATTAAAATTGAAAAAATGGTAGGTTGGATCAGAGAGAAATAGAATTGAAGACTTACTTGCGAAAGGCAAATGTGGCTTTCATCAATTCTTTGGTAATATCCGTTTTCATTTCCTTAGATTTGGATCTCTCTCTTAAAGCAGAATTGAACATATTTGACCGGAGCAATCTACCAACTTCTTGCTGGATTTCCTTGAGATTCTTTTGTCTGAATGTCACAAAAGCTACGTAGGATGCAAAGTTGTACAAGCACTAAAAGCAAACAGGAATATAACTCTTTTTCTACTTAAAGTACATTTACAAATAAAAATTACAATTATATTGAATGAACATAGGGAGGATTGCATTTTTAGTCTTTTCAGCATATAGAAACTAGTAAAAACTTCTTTTTAAGTTTAGGACATGTTGGTCATGAATAGCTTTTATTTTTCACTGACTTTCTGGTGACATATGTGATATATTACAGCTCAAAACCCGGTCCATCTGACTCCCCCCGCCCCCCAATATAATCACACAAAATTTAGATACAATTAATTTTATCTTAGGGTGAATGTTAGCCCCTACTTACCTCAAAGAATTCCCTGTCTTTCCGAGATGATGATATTTTCTTTCTAAAACAAGGAAAAGAAATAGCAAAGTATTAACCATAAAACCCTCTCAATTTTCTGCAATTGCCTTGTACAAGAGTATATTACATACGGTAAGTGTTTCTTTTATGAAATCTTCAATGACAGCAATTGGTCCCAGAAATTCCATCACAAAACAACACAGTTGTAAAGCATGATGTCACATGACTGCACTACTTAGCAATGGAAATTCTGGCACTCCCAGTTGCCATCATTAAGCGAATCATTGAGTTACCAAGTGAGGACACCATGCCACCATTTGTGATCTTCTGCCAACTTCCCCATTGATTTTGCTTGAAGGAAGCTGGCAAAGAAGGTCATAAATGGCCATTGGGATGCTGCAGTGACCATAAGTATGACAGCCAGTCATTACTACTACTCATTCAGCACCATCGTAAGTTTGAAGGGTCATTCAACAAAAGGACCACCTGTAATATGGTATCTACTGCATTGTTACATCTGAAAGCAAGATAAAGTTTTGATTGTCATATGCAAATGTAAACAGCCCCTGCACAAAGATATGAAACAAAGATATGAAACAAAGATTTTTTGGGGGGGAGAGAGAAATTATTCTAAAATATTGTTTCTATCTTAATATTTTTTAAGATTTATTCTAGGCTTTACATACTGTAACTTTTCCTTTACCCATCAGACACCTATGGAGATTCTCAATCATCCAGATCATGGTTGTCCAAAAGCTGCTGACTAAAAGGAAACTGGACTTTCTTGGTTTTTTTTCCTTCATAACGTTTCGCTTCTCATCCAAGATGAGAAGTAAAACATTTTCAAGGAAAAATATCAGGGAAGTCCAATTGCCTTTTGAACAGCACCTTTGTGTTACCCATCAGACCACTACAAAGATCCCTTACTTCCTCAGGTGATTTATTTCAAGTCGCCCTTCACTTTTAATTTTTCCCTTTCTGTAACTATGTGGTGGGAATGGATTGGGGTGCAGAAATAATTAAATCCCTGAAATCCATTCTTCAGAGCTAGACTTTCCAGCTGGGTCACTAAACAACCTTACTCATGTAGCTTCTTGCATGAATAGCACTGGGTTGGGTTTCCATTGAGTCAGCATGGATTTTTCAGCCTAATCAAGAAAAGGAAGAACACTCCCCAACCGCAAGCAATGAGGCTGGCTTAATCCAATGTTGCTGAATGTACACCTGGGTAATACTTACAAGTAAAAGGTGTGGCATCCATTTTGTATATTTACAAATAACTAGTTATACAATGTATGGGGGGGGGGGGAATAGAATGGGATCTGGTTTGTTTTTTTTTACAAAAAAATGGTACATGGAAAATAGCACTGAATGCTCTGGAAAGGGCTTCAGTGTTGGATGAGACCCTGATTAGAATAAAATTATTGGGAAGAGAGGTTGCTGAAAGGAACAGGTTCAGTTCCTTTCACTTGCAGAGAACTCCCAACAGTATTTCCCATTCAGTTACCTTAATTATAACCACTAACTAGCGCTGAGTTTCCCACATTTTGATGTGGAAAATGTATTAATATTGTTGTTTAAAATTCAACTCCTTCATTGTTTCTGACAGCTGAAACTATGTTCTATGAAGCTTTCAACACCACACCTAGTTTGGCTTTGCAAATTTGCTGTGGTGCCTCTCACAAATAATCAAGCAGATTTCTCATTCTAGACCAGTTCACACATGTAGCACAAACAATAGTGCAGTGAGATCATGAAATCTTAAGGTGACAAAACTAAATAGCATTGCTTTAGTCTCCTATCTAAATACACATTCACATATCCTTGCTGCAGATAAAAACACCACTGAAGAATCCTAACATAACTTCCCCAGGGTCCCTTAGAGACATGGACTTCAACTCTCAGAATTCCCCAGAGGGCATTGCCATTGCTAAGAATTCTAAGACCATATTTGGGAGAACAGAATGGGGATGCTAACATACTAGGCATGAACTGAGTTAAAATCTTCCTTCTCATCACTACCACCGTAGTGATGAGAAGGAAGATTAAATTAAGATTAAGATTAAGTTCCATTTAAAATATGAAATGGAACTGTTCATTCTGCCATCTCATCTTGCAGTTTGTGTGCAACAAGCAATTTGGACACTTAAAATGGGTCTTCTAACCCTTATTCTATCCCTTGGCAATTCAACAAGACAGGATCAGCAAAGCTGTTGGCCATAAATTTCTTATAGCAGCCTAGACAAAAAAGGACAAAACGATCCATAGTAGACAGATAGATGAGTAGACGTATAGACAAAAAATGAGCAATCAGCGATCTGGGTTATATGCAATCCTGAAAGTCAAGGTTTGCAGACCAAAGAGGCCTCTTTAACCATAATTACTGAAAAGTAACAACACAGATTTATATCAGTTCATGTGGGAAACACATGAATACTGCAGTTTTAAAATCTAAAGTCAGCAAATCATGGGTAAAACAACAAAGAAAATCCCCAAATCCCCCTAAGATAGCCATACCCATATGTGCAATGTGATTTCACCCAATAGGTCGTCCTCACTGTGCAAAAAATTGTAAGGTTGCTCATCCTTGTCTTTGGGAATAAATGATAGAAGGTCCAGATAAGGAAATAGGTAGAATTCCTTCTACATAAAGGAAAAATATCCATGAATGATAATGATGCAAGATAGAATTTGAGTCAATCACTGGGATAGAGATTTACTCTTCTGAGTTTTCAGACTCATACTGGGCTCCAGCATCAGTTCAAAAGCTCAAAAGAGTAAAAGAGTATCTCTGGTCCTGGTGACCAACCCAAATTCAATCTTGCGAGAAAAATGCTGCTCAGGACGCCTGCATACTATTTCTAATTCTCAGTCTTCAAGCAAAAAGAAACTATAGCTCAACCCACCAAAAACATAACTGTAAAAGACAGACCAGAAATAAAAGTTAAAATAAGCAAAAAAAATAGTAAGAGAACACCTGTCTGATCTTGATGAACACAAATCACCGGGGCCTGATGGATTACATCCCAGAGTTCTAAAGGAGCTGGTGGAGGTCATCTTAGAGCCACTGCACCATATCTTTCACAAAAGAGCTGATGTGGTTCCCATCATCAAGGGAAAAAAAAACAGACTCAGGAAACTATAGACCAATCAGCCTAATATCAATACCTGGGAAGATACTGGAAAAGATAATAAAAAAACAGATCTACCAACATCTAGAAACAAGTAAAGTAATATTAGCAGTCAGCATGGGTTTGTTAAAAACAGATCATGCCAAACCAATCTTATTTCATTCTTCAGCATAGTGACTAAATTAGTAGACCAGCAAAATACTGTGGACATAATATATTTAGATTTCAGCAAGGCATTTAATAAAGTAGACCACAACCTACTTCTTAGTAAGCTAGAAAAAAGTGGAATAGATAGCACCACCACTAAATGGACTTGCAACTGGCTGACAAACCGTACTCAACGAGTCGTCCTTAATGTGTCTAAGTCTACATGGAGGGAAGTAAGCAGTGGGGTGCCACAAGATTCCATCTTAGGCCCTGTACTCTTCAATATCTTCATTAACGACTTAAATGAGGGAATAGAAGGGGAACATGCCAAATTTGCAGATGATACTAAACTGGTAGGAATAGCTAACACCCAAGAAGATAGGTACACATATAGACTGGGTGAAACCAGGCTCAATACCAGCGTGAGAGGGATCTTGGAGTCTTAGTGGACAACCAGCTAAATATGAGCCAGCAGTGTACAGCAGCAGCCAAAAAAACCTAATGCAACCCTAAGTTGCATTAACAGAGGGATACAATCGAGACCAAGTAAGGTACTAATAACACTCTATAAAGCCTTAGTAAGACCACACCTAGAGTACTGCATCCAGTTTTGGTCACCACATTATAAAAAAAATGTTGAGACTCTAGAAAAAGTACAGAGAAGAGCAACCAGGATGATTAGGGGACTGGAGACTAAAACATATGAAGAACCGGGCATGGCTAATCTAGTGAAGAGAAGGACCAGGGGAGACATGATACCAGTCTTCCAATATTTGAGGGGCTGCCAGAGAGAGGATTTTCCAAAGCACCTGTAGGCTTGAAATTTTCAAGAAGAGATTGGACTGCCATTTGTCAGAAATGGTAAAGGATCACCCGCTTTTGGGGGGGGGGGGTTGGACTAGATTACCGATAAGGTCCCTTCCAACTCTGATTATCTGTTATCTGTTATCTATAATATGCCCTTGAATCTTTGTCTTTTATCACTTTGTCTTGGAGAGTATTTTTGTTTTGTTTTGTTTTTTGATGCTTTCCCGTGTGTCCTCTACTGCTCTCCTTGGTCTTTCTGCTGTCATTGGCCTTGCTGACAACATTTGATTTCTGCCCCAGGCTTACACTGGCTCAGAGGTTATCTTTCCTGCCAGACTAATCTTAATAAGAGAAGGAAAAATGCATGTGAATGCATTAGAAAGGAGCTTAGTTCAGAGTATGCTTTCATTTTTACCCTCTTTTAGTAAAAATGAAGCAACCATTAGTACTTTAAAGATTAACACATCTATAAGTTTTCATGGACACGAATCCACTTCAAGATAGTCACAAAAGATTATCCTGGAGTTAAGTGTTAGATATACCTAAACCAGTGGGGAAGGAAGGGAAATGAACTATAAATGGTGAGATTTATGAAAAATTACATGTAGAATATATAGGCAGTGATAATTTTCTCATTGTGACCTTTCAGAAAATAGTTGCTGAGCGATAACACAGAAGTTCTTTCAGAAGTATTACATCTCATGTATTATTTAAAATAGCACATCATGGCTTGAATAATTAAGTTCAGGTTAAATATTTTCCAGACATTCATAAAAGTTAAGGAAACTAATGAAAGGGCCTTTTCCCAGTACCAAGCCCCAGTGCTAGTCCACACCCTTGAGCAGGTGGAAAATTGTCCTAACTTGATTTGCTATTTGCAATCTCTCATCTGTTTTTCCTCCCAGGTAATGATTTCACAAATGCTGAAGCAGCTTTTGAATGGTATGAAGAAAAAGGAGGAGGTCATCTAAGGAAGTCTAAAGTATGTTTCATTCATGGGTTGGGACCAGGTGAAAGCAGAATTAAGGGATAAGCCTACATTTATGCTGTAATTAAGTGCAAATGAGGCTATAGCTAAACACACATTGTTGCTGGTGATATGCTGTCCAGAGCCAGATTCAGTAAGATGGGTGGCGATGTACATTTGCTGAAATTTTTTTGTTTTTTGTTTTTGCTTAGGCAGATACAAGTAGTCCTCAACTTACTACAATTGAGCCCCAAATTTATGTTGCTGAATAAGAAATCTGTTAAGTGAGTTTTGCCCCATTTTACGATTTTTCTTGCTACATTCGTTAAATGAATCACTGCAATTGTTTAGTTAGTTACACAGTTGTTAAGTGAATCTGGCTTTCCCATTGACTTTGCTTGTAAGGTTTCAAAAGGTGATCACGTGACCCTGGGACACGGCAACCGTCATAAATGGGAGTCAGTTGTCAAGAATCCAAATGTAAATCACATGACCGTAGGGATGCTGCAGCGATCATAAGAGTGAAAAATGGTCATAAGCAGGGGTGGGCTTCAGCAGGTTCGCGCCGATCTGGCCGAACCGGATGTTAATTTTACATCTGGTTCGGTGAACAAGTAGTTCTGATGACTGGTTGGCCCCACCCACCGTCCGCCACCACTCTCAGGACTCCCCATGCAGCCTGTTTTGGATCACAGGTAAGTGCAGGGGCCGTGCGGAGGCTCGGGGAGAATGAAAAATGGGCCTCCCGGATGCTCCAGAAGGCTGGAAACAGGCCTATTTCTGGCCTCCAGAGAGCTTCCGGAGCCCAGGGAGGGCGAAATGGGCCCTCTGAGGCCCATTTTCATTCCCAGGGTGGTGCAGGAGGCTGACTAGGCCACACCCACCATAGCCATGGCCACGCCCACTCAGTGATCAGGCAGAGAACCTGTTGTTAAATTATTTGAAGCCCACCCCTGGTCATAAGTCATTTTTTTCAGTGCCATATTGACTTTGAATGGTCAGTAAGTAAACTGTTGTAAGTCAAGGACTACCTGTAATAGAAATGCAATATGCACAATCCCAGTAGGTGGGGAAGCAGCACCTAGCCAACTTTGGCTAATCTCAGAAAGTTCAGCTGAATTGGACCTGTTTAGTACTTAATTGGGAGACCAACAGGAGATCACAGTTCTGTAGGCTGTATTGGGAATCAAAGAGACTGTCTTGGAAGAAGATAATGGCAAATCAATCCCATATCCCAGCCAAGAATTGTATTGTATTCAATTAGCAGAAGTTGAATGTGACTTAAAAGAGACTTTTGTTTTTTTCAGTCTGATACATATGAAGAGTATGAACAACCTAGACAACTTGTGTCTACTTGGAAACTGCTTCTGGACTTTGTGCTCGAGGTGGAAAAAATGAAACTTTGGCTATGCATCTTACCCAATTAGGTTTGTTGTGTATAGAAATGACTAGTTTATACTACTATGTAAAAGTAAAAAGTAAAAAAGGTCTAATATTATTATGTTATTGTACTGCACCAAAGGGAATTGGAAGTCGTCTTTTCTTTCTTTTTCCCCCTTTTCCCACACTTTCCCTTTCCCTTTTCCCTCCCTTACCTTTTCTACCATTTTCTTTTGAATTTTTGAATCATATATATGTGTGTGTGTGTGTGTGTGTGTATCTATGTATGTATATGTGTGTGTGTGTGTGTGTGTGTGTGTGTGTGTGTGTGTGCGTGTGCGTGTATGTAAGAGAGAAATACCACCCACGCATCATCACAAAATCTCTAGAACTGTAAAGCCTACAAACTTGAAATTTGGGATGTATGTTCCTCTTGGCTTCTAGGTGCTCACTAAGAAAGGATTTTTCAAAATGACCATCAGAGCATTAGTATTTCATATATTATTATTAACACGCTCTGATGCTAAGGAGTTCTACTCCCCCTCCCCACCTGAAATCTGTTCCAAAAACACAAGCAGAGGAGTTTCAGTTGAAGTTTCACAGAACCAAGCAGCTTTACTACAGAACAATTGAGCTAAGCCACAGCCCAGGCTCCTTGCTGTCTCCTTCTTGCTCACAGAACAAATTCTGTTTCAGTTTCCAATCAGCCCTCAACTCTCTCACACTCTGATAGGACACTAGCCAGATGAATATTGATGGATGCTGGTAGGCAGAGGCAGAATTTCCCCCCCTTATTTTCCTCCCCCAAAACTAAGCTGCCTGTATATTTAAACAGTTTCATAGCGAAGCATGGGTACCGAGCTAGTATTAATAAATAAACTAAATTTATGACAACCCACATCGGTTGGCTGTGCATATTTCCTAGTAAGGGTCCCAAAAACTGAGACTTTACTTCTTGGTTAACAAAACTGCCTACTGTTATTTTGTCTCTTTACCATCCCTATTTCTACTCAGAAAATAGTTTATCTGCCTTCAATTCTCTATTGCCTATAGCCATTTATACTCAGTGTATATGACATGACATCAAATTTAGATCATAACATGACATCACATTTAGAAGATTAATTCAGAAAGTATATCCAGGGAAACAGTTCAGCATACAGTTATCCACACACATTCATGAAATGTGGTGATGGAGGTAATTTATAACCCTTGTGCACTGTCTTATCACTTTTTTCTTTCTTTCCACACACAAAAATATTCGTGAACAAAAGACAGAATAAGCACAGGTCTTCTGATGGGCAGTATAAGAAAATGTCCATTTGGAATCAGAGAAAAAAATTTTTTAGGCACAATCATTTCCTTACTTTCCACAAGCCATGTGATGCTGATCAGACATTCCCAGTCCAAGGATAAGGATACAGTACATTTCAGCAAGGTGCTTTTTGGTCACTGCTAGCTTTATTTGGATTTCTTTCATTTCTTTTTTTTCTAGGATGCTGGGCTTTCTGTTTTGACAAAAAATACAAAAATTAAAGGATTTTTTAATTTATTTCTGTTCTGGGGAACATTTTCTTGAAAGTATCTATACAAAACTGAATGCATATTGTTAGATAGGTCTGATAGAACAAGCAAAAGGTGAGTTCAGCTACCCATTCTCTCCTTTTCTGACACATTTTCTTTTCATCACTTTTTGATACTTTTTTCTGTCTCTGCACATGCAGCACACTGTAGAGAAAAAGATATATTGCTCTGAACAGTGTTCACCACTTCTCTGACAGAAACTGATTCTGTTTTACATAAGCTAAAGTCTAAGATAATCCCCTAACATTCAACAATAAATTGACTTCTTGTAATGGTAGCTTAGGAACACTGTTTGGTATCCAGAATTATTTCTGTTTGTGCATCTTAAAGTTGGAAGCCCAGAGTTAGACATAGGTACATGAGCTGGAGGACTTTCAGCCTTGCTTTAAGTTTAATATTGAATATTTCAGGGAAACAGCCAGTCATTATTACAGGTAGCCCTTGACTTACTTCATGTAGAGATTGTTCGAAGTTACAACAGCACTGAAAAAAGTGACTTATGATTATTTTTCACACTTATGACCATGGAAGCATCCCCATGGTCACGAGATCAATATTCAGACATTTGGCAACTCACTTATATTTATGATGGTTGCAGTGTCCCAGGATCATGTAATCACCTTTTGTGTCTTTCTGACAAGCAAAGTTAATGGGGAAGCCAGATTCACTTAACAGTCATGTAACTAACTTACATGGCTGTTATTCACTTGGAAAATGGAGCAAAACTCACTTAACAAATGTCTCACTTAGAAACATTAATTTTAGGCTCAATTGTGGGCATAAGTTGAGGACTACCTGTAGTTATTTCAGTTTGTACACTAGAAATACATATTCAGATACAGATACTGCTTTGGCCAGCTTTAAACCAGGTTTGGGCAAACCATATCAATTTTCAAAGTTATGGTAGAAGAAACCTAAAAAGGACCAAAAGATAGGTAGACCATTAAGAGGTTACTACAAATAGCTGAGGAAAGAATGAGATCATGAAGGCATGGGAAGCTGAAAGCATTTACCTATTCTGTCTATTATATGAACTATTTCATAGCACTGTTGTCCATATTCTTTTGCCTTCTCTGACTGGAATTAATTAATTTTTTTGTCTTCTCTTGAATTAATACATCTTTCCCACATAATAAGATATTGGCACTGCAGAGCATTGAAATAGAGAGCTTCCTAATATCATGTATTCCTTTAAGCACTGAGCCCTGGCCATCCCTCCCTAAACAAGGCAGGTCTTTATAATCATGCTAAAAAAAATAAAAATTAATTACAAGATTATCAAATTGTGGGCTAAGAAGAGTCTGTTCTGTAACCTACATTACTATGTACTACTTGCTATTTCCCCCGGTCATAAAGCAATATTACTGGAGCCACTGGAGCCAATTTGATGAGTAAAATTTATCTTTGCCTTTTCTCTGACTTCAGCAGATATTTCAGATTCACAAAGCGCTAGAAACTTGTTTTTCAAGCTGATTTTCTCAGGAAAGAATTAACTAATTTACACTTAGAAAGTCCTTGCTCCTATAAATTGATTTAAATGTTCACTTTGACCTAAATCTACATTCTTGCTACAGAATTTGGAATCTTTGACATTGAGAAATACATGCAGATTTGTAAAATGGGACAAGATCATTGTATTCTGGGCAAACTGGTCGCCAAATGCTAGACCTTCCGTTGATGGGGAAAGCTCTTTGCACAGTCTAGCAAAGATTAAACCAGCAAATCCTCCAAGTGCACAAAGTCTGAAGAAAGAGAATACCTTTGCCTTAGTACCAAGACTTTACCATACAATATTATGTACATAATGTGGTTATGGGAGTCTGCTTAGGAAAACATAAAAGTAGTTACCCCATAAAAGACTTGGGTTTCATCTCCAGGTTTATTTTTTCCAGATAAAAAGAAATATAGTACAACAAAGCCATGAGGAAATCATCCAACTGCTTACACCTAGAACAAAATTAAAAGTCACAAAATTAAAATTAAAAGTCAAAAGAAATTTTTACTTGGAACAGGGTACTATGATTTGGGAAATAACTTTTGCTTCAGGAGCAATGATTTTACCATCCTCTTTCATATCATACCTTTTAATTTCACCAATTTAGTTATTTGGGCAAGGATACAAAACATCCAATGTGTATATCCAAAACACTTTTCAAATCACTTGACAGTTCTTAAAATCTCCATACTTGCTCTCTCCATGATCCTAAATTCAGCATAAGCACACCCTTACTTTCAACTTTCTGCCCTGCTCTTCCAGTCTAATATATCTCTCGGCCCTTATTGTTTCTTCGTCCAGCATCACTCCTGCTCATCAAAAATCTGCCTTGCCTAAAGACTGAGATGCAACCTTCAAAGCTCTTCCAAAAGTTGGTACCACATTCCAATTATTAAGAAGAGATTTTTAAAATAGAAATTTGAATCTGTCTTGAATTTAGCAGTCGTAAGCAGGTGACTATACATTGCATAGACCGTCTATCTGATGGAATAGAGGCAAGAAGAATGTGCTAGCTTGCAAAATAATATCTAGATTAAAGAGCCTAGCTTGCACATAATAGCCTAAATACAGTACATTTGGGGATAAAACTGGCCTGTGCTCTCCTTGCAGTATACTGCCTGTCCTCACCACTAGCAATACTGTATGTGGTATGGTCATGACTAAAGCTAGTATTCTCATTCACTAAAAAAAGTTATGGCAAATTACCAAGGTCATAATGAGCAGCAACAGGCTATATCTATAGCTCACCAGATGATGTCCATAACTTATGGATAGCTGCAACCCAGAATGCAAGAAGAGAATAGTAAAAGGAATAGTGAATAGTGAAACTAAGAGCTCATGTTTACATTGTGGTAACCATGGCACAAAGAAACCCTGCTAACCATGGTTAAATTTATCTGTTGCCTTTGATTCATCCTAAGTCCACTATGGATGCATCTTTCATTTGCCTTTTTCTGGTCGTGTTAAAGAGATGTTTTCCCTCTTCTCCTGAAACAAACTTTGACATCTCTGTGTGCAATATGGTTGATGGCAGCATCAGTCAGGGATCTATCCAGCTCCCATTGGATGTTTTGGGCTTCTGAAGGCAATCGCCTTCCTTCTGGCTCTGAATACTACCTTCCAGAGCTATTCTGCTTTCAGGGATAGGAGAGTCCAATTCTTTCAAAATAAGTTCTCCCCCACCCACTGCATCTAAGTTCTATGGAGCAGTTCCATGCAATCAATTACCTAGTGAAGAAAGAAATCTCTCTATATACTTCTCCTGCCACAACTGCCAGACCTGACAACAGGTCCCCAGGCTGTCAGGGCTCAGAGAAATGGCAAGAGAAGTTAGGGACAAGCTGACTTCCCCATCAAATCAATGATCACGTCTTATTATTATTACCTTTATTGCCAGAGTACAACATGTGTACAATGAGATTGGCTGAGCCTCTCTTCGTGCACCCCCCCCGAAGTACAATTCAGCGTACAATTGTGCAATTGGGTGCCTATTGGAAGAACTGGATTCCCATTGCCGGCACCTGTCAGCCAGCCTGAAAGATTGCTGACACCTGCTGTAGAGGGGGAGCACACTCCAGAGTCCTTGGGGTTGGGGTGGGGGCTATATTTAAATCTGAGTTTAAGCACTCTTATGGAAAATTTCAATATTTAATAAGTTTTAGAAACATCTGATGGATGCAGTAATTGCAAGAAAGAGGGATCTTTCCCTTGTAACAGCCCTACCCCATCATCTAAAACTGTTTTTAATCATATGTTCACTACTCTCTGGAACAGCACTTAACCCTTGTTCAAAAGTAAAATCAAAACACCTGACAACTGCTAAAAGGGCCATGTAGTGAAATGAACTTTCTTGTTCTACTGTGCCACCCCAATAAGGTGTGTTGGCTCATCTCAGAGCATCTGACAGGTATACTGGGTGGCTGAAGACTTTGGACTTCATTGCCCATTGGTTCAGATACAAGTGCTGTGTCTGATCTGTGGATAGGTTAGAGTTCTTAGTAAAGTGCCTCCTCCACGGTGGGGTTGGGATTGCCCAGTAAAGCAGAGATAGTACCATTTCTCCTGCCTATATATTTAAAACTGTTTAAGTACAGGTTTACTGGTCTTTAAGAAGAGCTAAAGGTTCTTGTCTAAAAATAATGCCAGTATTGACTGGTCCAGAAGGCAGCAGAGAGGTGAAAGAGGGAAGAGCCCTTTTCTTTACATCACACCACCACCCCTGCCTGACAGGTCAGTGTTGAGATTTGCCCTGCTCCTTTTCTAAGGCCTTAAGGACTGGTTTTGTCAACAAGCTTGGGATCTAGATGTGGGACATAGGCTATGCAATGGTTATGTTGATTCTGTTTTTTATCCATGTTATTTATGCTGGTTATGTGAATGTTCTTTTTATTATGTTTGACTGTATTTCTAACTTTTACTAGCTGTCTAGAGTAATGAATTTGAGATAGGCAGCCATCTAAATTGAATGAATGAATGAATGAATGAAGCTATATTTATGTCAAAAGGAGCCCAACTGCCAGCTGATATACATGCGCCCGAAATACTGATGCCAAACCAAAGCAAACCCATCAGTCTAATTTGTTTCCTATACAACCCTAGTTTCAACTCATGTTAACAAGTCTTTTTTTCCAAAATCACTGTAGATAGCAGTTTGCTATTACATGTCCAAAACATGTTGATCAGTCAAAATACTTTTTTAAACACCTTTAAAGATCTCTTTCTCTTGCAGAGAGTTTCTAGTTAGACAAGGCACATTTTCCTGCTCCATGCAAATTGCAGGAGCATTACAGCCAAATAGCAGTTGGATGTGAAGTCCAATCTGCCAGAATTCTCTCTGGAACAAAGAGAGACCTGAAGGTTGCTCATAGGCATTCCTCAACAACTGATTTTTGTGAACACACAGCAGAAATTGATGCCTCTGCAGCCGTTGGCCATCACTTGAGAGTCATGGGTTCCATCATGCTCTGAGCTATAAATTCAGCTTTTCATGGACTTAAGGTTTCATGAAATCTCATCTTCTTAATCTCTTTCCAATCTATTTTTTGTACAGCTTCTTTAAGACTGATAAACCTTCAGAACTGCAAACCTACAAGTTGCTGGTTGAGTTTTCCTTCAATCTGTTTCAAAAGAAAAGAAACTAAGTCTTATTAGTTTTGTAAGATGTTTTTTGTAACTGGCAATATACAGCAAAGTACTTTAGAGTTTAAAGAGTTCAAATGCTAACTAAGCCTTTGTGAAACTGATTTAAAGAAAGACTGAAATTAATTAGATCCTCTCTTGTGGGAAAAGTCCGTTTTGTTTACATTTTGCAAACAAGACTTTGAAGATCTAATACTAAAGCATATGACAGCAACTTTAAAGGAAATGTTTGATTTGTGGGCATATGAAGTGCTTCAGCTTTTCAACTCTGTACCGGAACTTAAAGTTGCTACTGAAGATGAACAAATTCCTTTGAAGACAATCAAAATGGTCTTTCAGATGGACTTAAAAATTACAAAAAAGAGATCAAAATACTGGATTTGCAAGTGGAACTGCATGAATATTTAAAATCCAAAAGTACATAAAAATAATATATTTTAAAAGTAATGTGGGCTATCCTGTTATATTGAAGTATAAGAGATGTACTGGAATTACTTAATAAAAATTATGAATGGATTTGGATAAATATAATGAACTTCAGGAAAAAAGGCAAAGAGGCTATAAACAACAAGAGGTAGAATGTATCCACAGGACTTAAGAATGGCTGGGATTTTCAGATTGAATTGTTACTATTTTAGAAATATTCAATGATGCAATGGATTAGTTTGTAACATTTATGCTATCATTTTTTGAATATTTAAATAAGGGGTTATTCTGGTAATGTTTAAATTGAATAAATTAATGTTTAATAGCTTTCAACACCATTATTTTTTGTAATGTTTAATTGTTAAGAGAGGGATGAAGGGATGTAGAGTAAACGGAAAGGGGGTTTAAAAATTTAGAATATTTCCAATTTTATTGTTTTTTACTAGATATCTGTTGATCAATAAGGGGAGATGAATATTTAAAGAGGGTTTTATAGAAAATGAGGTGAGATATAGAATTAAGACCTATTTGTATTTAATAGACAGCAATAAATTTTCCAGTATTGATATGTTTGCTGATGATAAAGGGGAAAGTTTTTTCATCTTAATATCTTTTGGGGAGAGGGCCATTTTTCCTATCTATCCTTCCATTTAGAGAGGGGGGGGGGAGGGAGAGGGAGAGAGGGAGGGACAGTGAGAGAGGGAAAGAGAGAGAGCCTTCACAATGGTCTCCTGGGATACTCCTGGGACACTCTGTTATCAATCTGGCCAGGAGCCAGACTGGAGTGTTGCTGATCAGGTAGCTTGGAGGGATAGTGGCAAAGTGTTAGTAATCAGTTGTTCAATCATACACAGCTGTAGAAGATACAGCTATAGAAGAAGATGCTTGGTTCAAATAAGACCTTAATCACTTCTTAGAATAAAAAAGCAACAATGGTCTTGGATCCAGTTGTGCCAACTCAGGGTGTTATTTTGTGGTTAAATGTATAACCAACTTGACTCCCAACACCTCTAGGCAGTTTCTTATCTTGAGATCTTAGGAGCTTCCTGGTTTTCAAAATACCACCTGGAGATTAAAATGGAAATTAACTCCTGAAGACATTTTGAGGGATGTTAGCGAAAGATGAAGAACAAACCTAAGTAAGCATCAGTGAGAGTTTTTTGCCAAAATAAGGGAAACAAAACAATTATTTTTCTATTCTTATCATGTTTATAGGTACCCAACAATGCACTTCTTCCTGGGTAAAGTGAGACCAGAGAAATATCTGCAGCACCACTGTGAGCAATGTTGAAGGCATCAGTTGGATAAAGTTGCTTAGATCCATTCTGAGATGTACCCTGGCAATATAAGTCTATGGAATTGAGAGACAAGTTCTGGGTAGATTATCTGGAAAATGTTTAATTCTACTGATCTTAAAAAAGTTGAGAGGGTCTTGCCATCCAATTATTAAATCTATGTGCTTCCTGACTGGTCCAGGCATTGTGGGAGATGATGAATGGTTGGATCAAGCATTGGTGAATGAACCAATTTTCTTTAACTTACAACTTCTTGATTTGCTCTTAAATGAAAACACATCATGTAACAGAAACACTCAATATGTACCTCATAACTAAGGAGAAAGAAGAAACGTGAATGGAATCATCTTCATGTGCCAGAAATAAAGCAGCATCTGAAAATATTCACAAGGAAAGAAAAGTATAATGAGCCAATCTGCTTAATCCAACCTTTCCAAGTGCGAAATCTGTAGCAGAAATTTGGAAGCATCCACCAAGGACCTCCACTTTGCAAGAAGCAGAAATTTGAGAGCACTAACCAAGGTCCTTCATTTTGTAAGTAACCCAATCTAATGCTCAGAGCATTTTGGACCTGATTTTCTAGCACAATGTCACTGTTTACCTGCCTTCTTTAAACCAATGAAAAAATTTAAATGGGACGGAAAGCTGCATCATTTATAAAGAACACAGATACATACACAAAGATGATAAAATCTATAGGGTAAAGTCAGTTTATTACAGTATTAGAGCAATACAGAATGATCTGATCTATAGGGCAGGAATTGGTATCTTGCCCAAACACCCCCCAAAATTGCACCCGGGATGAACCTCATCTCCTTCAGATATGTCAAATTACACATATCATCATATCCAGGCACCAGGGCAATTAAAATCTTAATAGAAAGGTGGCTTATATAAATTGGTGTTTGGCTTTTTTTTTACTATATCCAACCCTTCCTTCATAACAACTCAGGACAATCTACCTATTTTACTTCCTCAAAACACTGAAAAAATAAGCTTTGAAAAAATCATGGCTAGGGACACTTCACAGTTCCTAAAATATTTGGATGAACTGCAGTAAGGTCATTAAAATAGGAGCATCTTTCTTCTCCAAATCACTTGGAAGCTTGGGAAAAAAATCATTTGTTTTAATAAATAAAGATTCTGTTTGGATGATTTTCAAAGCATTTCTGAATTATTTTCCAAGGTGGACAGTCCTGGAAATAACTACTCCCAAATCAAAAACCTTTACAAGTAAATTGAAATTTGAACTAGGTTTAAGGCTGAACTTCTATCCTTTGGACCAAGTTACTTTTATTATAAATGCCTATTTCTGGTACACATGATAATGAAAGGTACAATTCTTTCTTTAAAAAAAGAAAATATCTAATGAAATAATAAAATTGTGCCTTATCCTTTCTATTTTTTAAAAATGAAATATATCAATTTGGAATATAAAGACACACTGTTTTCCCTAACATTTTCAAATGTAAAATTCTGGGGGAACTGCCTTATATGATTTTTGAGAATTAAAATTTTCATTAAGAAAAATCAGGGAAGTTAAATATGTGTAACAATTCAATCTTACCTTGATTCCTCGCAGGAGAAAAGAAACGAAGTATTTAAGGAAAGCATTATCATTAATTAAGGAATGTTCATATTCTACTTATTAATCCCAAGCTTTCCGTGAATCTGCTTTATGAAAGGATATGAAACCCAATCATAAAACCATAAAATCATAAAACTTTATGAAACCCAATCATAAAAACAAGTAAAACCATAATGATACTGAAAAATCTGTGAAGAAGCAGATAAAGCAGTATGTAAAACAGAGTAGTTTTCTTTTATCCTCTGGTACTCTTATGCTCTTTAATCATAATTATTGCAGGGCAGGCATCTTTCAGTTGAACTTCTGATCTCTGCATTTTTGCCACTGCACAGAAATGGGCAACCATCTTTTTAAATAGAGGACAGCATTTCTACAGAAGTAATATAAACAAAAAATATTTCAAACCATTTCAGATAGGGGTGGGCTTCAAAAATTTCATCAACTGGTTCTCTGCCCTGTTGCTGGGTGGGTGTGGCCATGGTGGGCACGGCCTAGTCGGCCTCCCGCACCACGGTGGTGGTGGGAGGTTGCCCTCCCCAGGCTCCGGAGACTTTCCTTGAGCCTCTGGGAAACTGAAAATGGTCTCCCTTGGGCTCCAGAGGCTCTCCAGAGGCTGGAAACAGAGCTTCTGGGAGTCCCATTTCCCCCCTCCCTGAGCCTTCTTGAAGGCCCTGCACTTTCTTGGCATCCAAAACAGGTCATGTAGAGACTCCTGGGAGGGGAGGGGCAGGTGGGGCTGGCCACCAGGGTGGGATTTGCTGGTTCTCCAAACCAGCTATAACATTAGCTATGAGTTCTCCGTAGCAGCCCACACCTGATTTCAGATATAGCAACAAAATGAGTGGAATAGTGAATAGTGTTAACAAGACGACAAAACTCTTCAATTTAGGTTCAACTTCTGAGGTGTATATGGTCATATCCATGGAGTTTTCTGAGCAACTGTAGTATATATTAGTGATTTATCACTGCCTTTGTTCAGAATGTTTTTTCAACTTGCCAGTTCAGTCTATGGCCTTGGAATTTCTAAACAGTTTCCATCCAAATACAAACTGGCTTAGCCTGGCTTTGTTTCCAAGCCTAACCTAGTTTCAAAGCCCAGTGATTCAAAGTTAGCATTCCCTTACTCACACTTAACATCTTCTAGAGTTATAAGTTCAGACTGTGCTCTCTTGGTTGGCCGAGGGGATTTGTCTTCTCCAGAAGAAACACTCAAGGTAAACAGATTTCGAAAATAATGAGGACCTGACCTACAGTTTAAAAAAAATAAGGCTTTGTTGTACCTACTGTATCTAAAGGCAAAACACACACAACAGTTCTACATAATTCAGGTACATAGAAAACTGAGTTAGTATTGGAATAGATTACAAAAAGTGAAAAAAGTCTGAGGCTAGTTTCTCCGTTTCAATTCATATCCTATTTATGCAAACTTGCTTATAATGTATGGCCCAGTTCTCATTATTTAGTTGTAGAACTCTTTGCATCAATGAAAATGGAGTAAAACAAAGTTACTGATCATTAGCATAGAAAGGAAAGATAGATAAATCTTGAACCACTAAAAATCATACAAAGTTTTAAATTTTTCCTGTTTTTTATCTACCCAACAGTGTCTTTTTCTGAATTTAGTTTACTCCAGATGTGGGTAATATTTTTCAACCTAGAAGATCACATATTGCTTTTGTGCTTTCCTTCACAGAAGCTTATGCCACCTATTTTGCCCCACCTTACCCCACAAAAATCTGAAGAAATTGCATGTTTGCGTGCATGTAAGAGAGAGATAAACAGGTGCTTTAACTTTTATATGCTTTCCAAAGGTCAAAACATGGGTTTAAAAATATCAGATCTATTCACTCTAAGGGGCTATGATCAATAATCAACTCAAAGATTGGAATTGCTAGAAGCATTTTATATATATTAAGGCACATGATCAATGGCAGCCCAACATCAGGGTTTTTTCACCTTGTCTCTCAATTCAGTAGAATTTCTCTGGCAGTAAAGTTCTAAAGAAGAGTACAATGGATCACATTAATGTAATACTATCTATAATATGAAAATGAGGCTATTGCTCTCCTTTTGAGAAATGGATGCAAGAACTTTATACATTGCTATTAACATCAAGACATCTTTTGCATCTCTTCACATTTTTCAGTATATGTATTTACTTATTCCTTTACCATTACATCTTACTCTTACTATAAATCAATATCTTTTATCCTTACATCTCAATCTTCTCCATGGTATATTTACATATTCCCTCATTCTTTTCCTAATTGCCATTTTATTTTCTTTTTATTTCTAAACCACTCATACCAGGCATACCAGGCCATAATAAATTGAATCTTCTATTTTATTTTCATTGTTAGCCTATCCATCTCTATACAGTCTATTTTTTTTATAACCATGACTTCTGATGGAACCCTTTTTTCCTTCAAGAGGGAAAAATAATTTGAATTCACAGCCAAAGTTATAGACAAGTTTTATTTATTAGCCAACATAACATTTTTAATCACTACAGGTATAAATCCACTCAGAGCAAGATCACATACATTCCCCTATATCAAGATTATTTGTCCAAATTGCATCTGTTACAAGTTGGATCAGCTCAAGATACCAGGCAAAAAAATGGAATTCATCTGCTATCTGAGATATCAGAAATATTTTCCATATATTTCTATTCTAGGCAATAATCATCCCCCAAAGTACAATCTTCTGCACCAACAACACCAGACAGTCCTTGTTCAGTATTTGAACCCAGGACCTCTCACATCCTAATTGAGGCTCATCCACTGCCAAACCCACAAATCATTGCTGGATAGCCAAACTTTTGTTGGTTTTGAAACAATATCACCTTTCTAGTGGCTTTGCTCCAAGCTCCTGAAATTGGATAGTCTTGCCTTTCTTATTTTTCTCTTTACTGTCCTTAAGTTCTTCCTTAAGCTGGGCACTGCAATATAAAAAGTCAAATAATTATGTATGAGCAGAAAATTCATAACTAAAAATGAAATTAGTAGAATGTTCTGCATATTAGTATCTCAAATGGATTGGATTGAGCACTCATAAGTCCTAGTCAGCTTAGTCAGTCCTAGTCACTTATCTCAGGTGACTGGAGATAAGAGGAGCAGTGGTGGGTGCTATGTATTATGTGGAAATAATTGCTTGACTAATTTAAAATAGTCTGTGCCACTACTAATTTTCTTACCAACCAGCTTGTCTAGTGATAAAGATATAATCCTACCAAAATTGAGAAGAATGAACCTTGATTTACATGGTTTATAAATTAGAAGCAGTATAAAGCATGATAAATTTAAAAATAAAGGTAAAAATCAGAGAGGCAACTGAATCCTTACCATGAAAATTCGAGTGTTCTAGAATCTTCTTTCCAGTACCACAAACCAGGATTAATTATGGTCAACTGTAAATATTTAAAATAGACCATAGTTTAGAAATCAGTTAAACTCAGTAGCTGTCAAATTTGCAGCTGGAACTCAAATGAATTTTCAGATGCTAACACTCTGTAGATTATTTTATTTATATTCCACCTTTGTTATTTATCAGGTATTACTACTTATAAGGAAATTCAGGGAATCACCTGAATCGCCTTATAGGGGAAAGCTGCCTTATGTGCTAATTACCTTGACGCACAGGACACATTCTCCTGAATTTTGTTCACATTATGCAACTATAATATCCCTAGTTTCCAAAAGGTGGTGTGTGCTTTGTTTTTTTTTTTTTGGGGGGGGGGGGGCTATTCAAAGGACAAACATTTCACTGACAAATGCTCTTTATTTGAGTTGTACAAATTTAGACAGTAGCAAAGAGGTAGGACTTTCAATATCTTTAAAATCCTGTTCTGTTCGCTAAATTAGAAAAAACAAATTAGATCAGTACATGATGGAAAAGTCAGCTCCTTTAGTCTAAAGTATTTTATATTTTGCCTTTTCAAAAAAAAAATACCAGCCTGGAGATAACTCTTAAAATGACTGTTCAAAAGCAAACTTTTAATTTCAACGAGTCTTGTCTCAAAGGTGCTTTTTCAAAAGGCAACTGGACTGGTTTTTGTTTGCCTTTTGGAAAAGCACCTTTGAGACAACTATCACCTGGATGACTGAGAATCTCCACAGACAATCAGTGGGACTGATGAAAGCAATAGATGCATAAAGCTTTAATGAAAGATCCCAGCGCCACAAACTCAGACTCCTTTTTAAAAGTCCTGGGAGGTGAAAGAATTCCCAAAGCCTCCTCCTAAGAAGTGCAGGTCCAAGGAGCAGCATTCAAAGTCTCACTTACCGGCAAGTAAACTCCTTTGGGCAGCTCCAAAAACTGTAGCTGGGACATGCTGCGGGGGTTGTTTACCGGAGTAACCTGGCGACCGCTCTCTCGGCGCGTGCGAGCCGCCCCCACTCTCACCGCCCCCTCCCTCCCCGCGGGTCCTCTGGCGCTGCGGAAGCGCAAAACCGCCAGGCAGTTGGCAGTTTGAACAGTTTTGAAAAGGGGGCCGGGGGTGGGGGGGGGAGGCGGAAGGAGAGAAGCCTCCTAAGAGTAAGATGCAGGAAAAAAAATTACGAAAATGGCGGCGGCTGAACTAAATAGAACGTTGCCCTTCCCTTTCAGTTTGTGATTTTTGCTCCCCGCCCCCCCCCCCAAAAAAAAACGCATATACACACTCGTCTGTAAGAGAGAATTTAGTGACTGAATCATCTCGGTGTAGATGCTGAACTTCGGGACCGGCATGTTTTATTCTGGAAAAGCACTAGGCAACTTCGGGCCAATCGTTTCTCAGGCTAACCTCCCTCTCGCTGCGCGGATCAGCTTGGAAAAAGAAGCGCTGCCATACCTCGAGTTCCTTCAGGAAAGGCGAAAGGACGGGAGAAAACCCAGAAAACAAAGACCTGCAAATAGAAGTCGCAAAAGGACTGTGATACAAGAAAGCAAAGATGATACTAATAGTGATAGGTGCCTTGAGTTAATCTGCAACGCCATTTGAACACCAGTGGTGATCAACAATGGCCATTAGTAAATTGCAAAAGGTAGCTTTACTTTGAACAGCTGATATGCTGCGACATATGCACAGCATCATCAAACATTCACTTATCCTAGGTCTTTAAAGACTACACTACAATAAAAATGCCAAATACAGTCAAAACATCTGTCAGACTTTGTGACCAACCATAATAGATAACTTTAATGTTTTAACAATATTAAGCAACATCTTTAATATAATTAAACACCTGCCTGTCTCAGATTCTCTGGAAGGAGTGGTCTAATTCAATCTAAATGACTGTGTGATAAACTACAGTATAATAATGGCTGGACTCCCAGAACGCCCAGGCAGCTATTCTGAGAGCTGTGATCCAATAGTTTGTAGAGCTACTGTTCAAACAGATCCTGCACCTATTCAGCAACAAGCTTGATTGAGAAGAGAAAGTATAAAGGATATGTTAGAAAAAGCAGGATACACTTGACAGCTGATTTATTTCAAAATAAAGTTATCTTAGGTACTGTAATTTGTGGATTGTGTTGTCTTTTGGGGTGTTGTTTTCACTTTGCCTTCAGTGTATAGGTTTTCCCCATTTTGTAAACCTCCTGTAGAAATGTGATGTGCACTGCTTTAACAAATATAGATTTGACAAATATAGATTTAATGCCAGATACTGTTCCTTGATGTGACAGGAACATACCAGTATTTACAGAGGATAATGTAGACTTGAGTAGTAGATATAAGTTAAAGAAGCAAGTAGTTGTCTAAAAAGTAATGAAGCCAAGCAAGAATGTGCCTGCTATTATCTTATGCTAAAAACATACGAGTAAAGGGACACTGGTTTTGTGCAGCCAGCCACCCCTCCGTTTTAATAAAGAAAAATCTGATTCTCAACCAGTGATATCTGACATCTTTTCCAGCCTGGAATCAAAACAGGGACAGGTTAGGAATTCTAGTTCTGAGAGAATGACAAGAAATATCTTAAGGTCACCAAGTTGATTAACACAATATTCCAGGCCCTCAATTAATGGTCATGTTTTATTTTTTTAAATGTCATTAGAATTTAGTTACACAATCATACAGATGTATCAAAGCACATTCTTAACACCAATCAGTGTTAAAGCACTTGGATAAAAAGCAAGTAATTATAAAAAATAATGTGTTTTCTTCATAATCATGAACCTTAAATGTACCTTGCTATATATGCTTACAATCTACGACTGCGGAAGAGTTAGAAGGAATGCACATTACTTCAGTCAGAAGAAGGCAAAGTGATTTTAGACTAGAGTTTGCCTATTTCTATTCCTAAATTTAAGTCATCATCTTAATGTTCATCACCATGTACATGTAGTATCTGTAAATTTTGCTCAAGCTTTCATTGCTCCTTTGTTTTTGTTCTTTGACTTTTCCTGAGAAGAGCACATTGTTCTTTTGTGTTTGCAGTTGCTGTTGCTATTGCCAAAGATATTCTGGAGGTTTGGCAGCAACAATGCATATTTATTAAGAACAGGCAGAGAAACTGATAGGGAAACAAGTTAAACCTTGTAACTGCAATGAAAGCAAAATCCAAACAGAAAGGCTCCTTCAGCTGCTTCTGCTTGTTAAGACTACAGCATCATGTCAACTCATTAGATGATAACTGTTAAGATTAATTGAATCAAAATGTGCTCCCAATTAAATATCCAACTAGATGCTTCTTGCACATATTTCCCAGAAGCTAGAGAAAGCTGTTAACTTTGATTCTGGAGGCAATATAGATTTAGTATTTAGTAGCCAAGTATAGTTTAATCTGTCAAAATTTATTTCTCCTTTTAAACTATTCTAACTTTGAGACTACCAATCCTCAATAGAAAAATTCAGTTTTTAAATTTGCTTTATAAAGATGGTTGTTTTCAAGTATCCCATACAATACATTGCAAACCTTTATAAAGTCCAACTCCTAAGAGCTGTTCAACAATAGCATCACCCAAAGAGGTAGGTGGCTTTTCTTCACTTGATCTCTTCATGCTCTTGCTATGGCAGTTTGAAATTGGGAAAAATTACAAAATAGTAAGTAACAAAATAAAATAGTATATGGGCATTACAAATTTAGACTATACGTGCTATATCATATGTATGTATGTGTATATATACATATACATAAGAGAGATGTCTTTTATTTACTTCTTTTAACATATCATAACACCCAGATGCTAAAGATGACCAACTCCCCTTATTGGCAAAGAAGATAAAAAAAGCTATTTTTATTTTCTGGCATACCTATAAACCATCTATTATGAACATTAAAAAGAATACCCGATTAACTGTAGTTTCAGTAGGGATATATTAATAAGTGAAACAGGGAAATAATTCTTAAAATTAGCTCTTGTTACCTGTATTTACCTTTTACCAGATAATTACCACTATGTGCTATTCTGTCAAAGATGGGCAAGTTTCCATCATAAAATATATCCACACTTTGTCTCTTTAACCACATGCTGACAGCCCTTACACCTCTTCATTTGAATGAAATAAGTGCCCATGAAGATATCTCAATTTTGGATAAGGCTAGTCCTAACTTCTCAATTACCTCTTGGATGGATTATGAAGTATGAGGCCCAGCACTGTCAAATTGCAGTGAAAATTCCTTTTTGTGCTCCAAGCTTTGTTTAACAATTGTTTCAAAGTTTTCAGTGTTGCAGTGTTGAGTTGATCCTGGTGCCAGGTTCAGAGAAATCCATGTGAATAACACCACCTGCATGCCACAATGCTGCATGCTTTTTTTTCCTGCCAAAGACTGGGTTTTACCTCCCTCACTCCACAGGTGAACTTTTGTAATGATATTCATTGGATATTCACTGTTGGATTATAATGTTTCGCTACCTGACACTATGTTTTGAATAAATTATTTGCCTTGTTCTTCTAACAGGACACAATTGGAAAATTTCAACTCTTGAACTTTCATCTCTGCTATTAACATGCAAAAAATTCATCTTGTTCAAAACATTCAGTAATGAAGACATCAATAACATGACCCATATGTTCTTGTGAAAAGGCAAGCTTGAGAGCAGTTTCCCTTTGAGTAATCCATCAGTTATTAGCCAGTTCATCAACCTGTTTCATGCAAAATGTGTTAATCCTTGAAACAGGGCGGTCTACATTATTTTTGATCAAAACTTATTATTTCCTTTTCATTTCTTGGCTCGATGCACAGTATTCATTTCAACAGTCATCCCCATAAACTACTTGCATTCAGCAGTAAATTTCAGTTGAAGCCCTTTCTCACAGAAGCTTCCATGAACTAAAGTGAAAGAACACATGCTAAAGACATCAATTTCTAGCATATCAGTCTATCTGTTGGAGACTTATAACATTCAACATATTCAGCTGAACAAAATTATACCTCCTTATCAAAAGACATTGGAAAGGACAGGAATAGATGGACCATTTATAACTTATCTGGTTAATAAGATGATGTCAGATCTGGCTTTGCAGAGAATATTCATTTAGAACTACCCTGCTGAACTGCACCCTGCTAAATTAGTTCCCAGTAAAGCAGCTGCCATTTATTTATTTCTGTGCCGCTGATTACCTGCCAAATGCTGTCTTCTGTTCTCTAAAAGTAGTTCCTAGCCTTAGGAATGGAACCTAAGAATTTTCCCTTACAAAATTCATTCTGAGTTACTGCTCTGTACTTTTCCATTTGATCAAATTGTCTATGCCCTTTGCTTTTTGGTTTGGAAGAGTAAAAGAGAAAGGTTTGTCAGGAAGTGAAATTCTCATAATTGGATTAAGGATGCAAGCCAAGGGTTTACTGTTTTGTGGTCAAATATAATTTGGAATGTTCACAGGGTATGATAAAAAAAAAAATTCAGAATGGCAACTACAATAGTTCAAATTAAGCTCTGCCTTTTTTTAAGTATGTCACACATGAAAGCATATTTTGTATTTTCAAATCATTTCTCTCATTACTGTCTTGCAACAGATATCCAGAGATTTTAAATTTAGAGAAGCCAACAGTGTTTAGCTTGCATCTTAAAGTATAACGTAAGCCATTTCACACTACAGATACTGTTTTGCAAGATTAACAAGACTGGCTCTCTTCAATCCTGCAGGCATGGGAAGGGCTTTACAGAATTTTTGAGTTGAATGATGAATGACAACTTTGTTTTGTATCGAAGTCTTCAGCTCAGTAACCTCAGAAAGAACTTAAATTTAGAAAAACTGGAATAACTAGCTGGTCTTTATTTTCTTCTTTGTACAAGGTTTGCCATCCATTTTAACGTTGTTGGGAATTTGTGTCTATCAAGAAATAACCTTTAATCATAAATATGCCATTTGGAGACACTGCTGAAATAGACTGTGTTCAAGCAAATTACGCAGCATTGTATCCTTAATTAAATTTTGACTTTTGCAAACTGTTTATCTTATGC